GTTAAGTATTGTACACAGAATAGTGGCAAGTTGCCAATCTGTTACTCCATCTTCTAAGAATTTAGTTTGTACTCCTTAGAACAAAGATATTCCCCTACACAATCACAATGAACCCTTCAAAATTAGGAAATTAGCATTGATATATAACTACTGTTCAGTCCTAGATTCCACTCAAGTATTGCCAGATATCCCAGTAATGTCCATTGTAGTAGGAGAATCTAGGTGAGACCCGTATCTTGCATTTAGTGGTCATGTCTTTTGAGTCTTTTAGTTGGAGCATTCCTTTGTCTTTGACTTTCTTGACCTTACCTGACCTTTTTGAAAATTACAGTTCAGTTATTTCATAGGGTCGTTCAGTTTGTGTTCATCGTGATTAGATTCAGGTCACACATCTTTTGTAGGAACATGTGTTCTTCTCACGGCATCCTATCGGGTGGTGCGTGAATCTGATTTGCCCCATCACTGATCATTTTTACTTCCATTACTTGCCAGGCTCTTCCTGTGTGAAGTTATGCTTTTATTTCCTTTGTAATTCGTATGAACCCGTGGTTTCCCATTTTATTCAATGAGTTTCAATCTATTCCTAGTGTTACTCACTTTGATGCTCATATTGTCCGTAATTTGGCCAGTGGGCACTCATTCAAGTTGGCTTCTGTGTCCTTTTGCTGTGTCCCCTCACTGTGAGCACTTTCTTGCTCTCAACAATAACACGTGCCAATATCATCTTGTATTTTCCCTGCTCCAGGCCTGGCATCAACCAATTTCCCAAGAAACCCTGGTTCCTTTTAGTAAAGAATAGTATTTAGAAGATGCTAAGTGAGCTTGTTGCTCTGGGAGTGTTGCTGCTCCTAAGCCCTCAGGGAACAGAGATGAGAAGTGTGTACATGGGTGTGTGTGTGTGTGTGTGTGTGTGTGTTCATACCAATACCTCTGATTCCATTGCAACACAACAGGGATTGTTCTAGTTTTCTTCCTTTCTATATTTCCAACTCTCTTTTCTGATAGTAAGAAACCTGTTTCCTGTTATCCTATTCACATATTAATTATTTAATCAATTACTCTGAACGGAACCACTTTTCTATAAATGCTATTGCCCTGCCCTTTGTGTGGATGTCCTCCTGATCCTTATATGGCTTCATCATCCCTTGTAGAGCTGTGACCCTAGATGTGAATACTCTGCTCAGCCACTGTATTCCCTATATCTGGTTACACTTTCTGGTAGTACCCTTGCCCATACCACCAGGACATGCTGAACTTCCTCCAGCCGGCATGCCTTCCTTAACCTTCTTGGGCTCTTGCACTCTATTCCAAGGCATCCTTGCCCATCCTCTGACTCCCCTTTGTTAGTACCTCCCTACCTAATGTAAACTCCGTCTTCACCCTGCGTGGACTCTAGCACTCCACACTGGCTCTCCCTTCCATACAAATGCCCTTCTCACCTTGCAGTGGTTTCTGAGCTCCACACCAGGGCCACTGCCTTTATCATTCTCATGGTGTGAACTCCTTCCTTCTTGTTCAGGCTCCAACACCCAGTATGAGACAGCCTTGCACACGTTGTCCCTTTTCACTCTGCTTGGGCTGTGCATCTCACACAGGGCTGCCCACGTTTGGGCATCTTATTCATCCTCCCTGGGTTCCAACTCCACGTGTTCTCCTGTATAGATGCCCTCCTCACACTACTGAGCTCTGACACTCCAAACATGCTTTCTCTACCTAATGGTTTTAAGACTGAACTAGCCAGGAACAGAAAGCGTTCTGCTTTTTTTGGAGCTTATATTAGATAAATGTTGGGTGTTCTCATTCTATCTCTAGCTCTTAATATCTCTGATCTTAACTCTCTGATTCTTTTCACTCAACATCTATTTTTTAATCACTCCTTGCCTTTTTTATTCTGTGTAATTTCTTGAGAATTATCTCTAAGTCCATTGATTCTCTCTTGAGTTGAGTCTATTTTGATTTATTCTCTTGACATTTGTTATATTCCAATGATTATATTTTATTCTAGAAGTAGTATTTGTTTCTTTAAAATTCTACCTGTTTATTTTTCTATAGGTTGTCTTTTTTCCTAAGGTTTCAGGTTTCTTCTTTTGTCTTTTTAATAGTTTTTTTTTTAAAAGATTTTACTTATTTATTTGCCAGAGAGAGAGCACAAGCAGTGGGAGCGGCAGGCAGAGGGAGAGGGAGAAGCAGGCTCCCTGCTGAGCAGAGATCCTGACATGGGGCTCAATTCCAGGACCCTGGGATCATGACCTGAGCCAAAGGCAGATGCTTAACCGATTGAGCCACGCAGGTGCCCCTCTTTAATAGTTTATCGCAACTTAACGTATTTGTTCTTCTTTCACAATAAGTTTTATATTGTTCTCTTATTATTAGTTCTGGGGATACTGATGGTTCTGTTTACTAATGGTTTATTATTTTCTTGAATGATTTGTAATTTCTTATTGCAAGCTTATTTGCCACTGGAGTTGTTTCTATGAAAACCATATGCAGTCTAGGTTGTGAAAGTATCTTCCAAAATGCTTTGTAAAAAAAGAAAAAAGCTTTATTAAAGTGTAATAGACATGCAGTATACTTATATGTCTACATATATGTATTGAAAGTGTATTATTGTGTGTTTTAACATATGTGTTCATTCATGAGACAATCACAGCAGTCAAAATAATGAACATGTCTACCATCCTCAGAAGTTTCTTTATTCTCCTTTGCAATCTCTGTAATCTCTGTTCCTTTCTCCTGTCCACAGGCAACCACTAACCCGTTTCCTGTTGTCCTAAAGTAATTTGAATTTTCTAGAATTTTATACAAATGGAGTCATACTGTATTTATTCTTTTTAGCTACTGTTTTCACTCAGCATAATTATTTTCAGTTTCATCTATGTTGTGCAAATTAAGAATTCATTCCTTTTTATAGCTGAATAGTATCCCATTGTGTGGCTATACCACAATTTGTTTATCCATTCACCTCATATGATGGACATTTGAATTGTTTCCACTTTTTAGCTATTATAAATAAAACCCTTCATGTAGAACTCTCTGTATAAATATTTGCTTTCTTTGGGTGAGACCTAGGGGTGGATTGACTGGGTAATGTACTGAGCACATGTTTCACTTTATAAAAAAACTGCAAAACTATTTTTCATTGTGTATTTCCAATAGCAGCGTATGAGTTCTAGTTGTTTTACATTCTTAACACTTGGCATGATTTTTTAATTTAAAAATTTGAGATATCCTAATAAGTGTGTAGTGTTTTTGAGAGGCCTCCCACTGGTATCATTGACCTGAGAACAATTATTTACATATATTTCTGCATGTGGGGATTCTGGCATCATATATATAACAATATTTTTTATTCCAAACCTGTTTTGTGGTTTAGATTTGGCATATTTTTCTTGGGAGATTGGGAAATAAGCTTCCTTATCTTTCTGAGTAGTGTTGGAGTTTTTCTAGATTCCATTTCATCAAGTAAGGAAGGCTTCTTGTCCTTAAGTGGAGATTAACACTTAAACTGACTCAGATCCTGTTTCAGATTTTTCTTAGATTTGTACTGCTTCGAATTCCCTAGACTTATTTACAAGCATGGCCATGAGGCAACAATGAAAACACACGCACGCACGCACGCGCACGCACAGTATTGTTTCTCTGCATTTGAGGTAGAAGTCCAAGTTCAGATTACAGTGTTATTAAAACCAGAACTCTTTGGTTAGCTTAGTAATGTGATTAATATGTGTGGTGCTGATAGTCTGAATTGCAAAGCTCCAAATAGTTCCCATAGAAATCTTGGTTTCATGGTACCTGGGGACCACTTGTGTACTGAGCTAAGAAGCGAACCATCAGGAACTGATACTGAATACCAAACAACTGAATGATAAATAAAATTTTGAAAGCAACCAGCTTATGGGTTAAGCACTGCCTACATCGAATTTGTGCTCATGGTGTAAATGCATACTCATGTTTACATGTGTGTGTGTCTATGTGTAATCAAACATTATAAATAATAATACCATAAAATTTAATAACAGAAGTCCTGTAGGACAGAAGGTTTTCATTTTGTTAACTTTCTCAAGCCAAACACGGAAAGTAAGCTAAACGTGGGAAGTAAGTTTGATCTTCCTCCCTCTCTTATCTTTGACATTTTTAATGAGACTAAATATATACCATTAAGTCATAAGGGGAAACTTACTAAACTACTTTAAACACTTAAAGCATTATTCATCACCAAATTATTTGTATTTCAGACAAGAATGGGGGAAACATTTAACTTAGTGTGTCCCAGACTGTAATGCACATATCGCTAGGTATATTTCAGATCATTTTGGGTGGGACACAGGCAAGCATTTTTTGACAAGTATATATTCATCTTAACCCTTGTAACTAACAAGCGAAGGTAGTAATTTCATGAAAATTCTTGTTGAGGAAGATATCAAATACAAAAACAGGTGAAATAAAAATTATTATTAGAAGTAATATAGGTGGAACATGAATATGACAGATACCAGGAGAGTCAAACATGTATCTTTGAAGAGTAGGAAACACTGTTTTTATAAAAAAGATTTACTTCTTAACCACAAATTTCAGATATTCGTTACTTAGGCGAGGTGATGACATTTTTGGGGAGAGAGAGTATGCAAAGCTGTCTTCAAATTATAGTGTGTAGCCAGCTCTAATCTTCTTGAGAGGTCTCGTTGGACTTTGAAGCAAGTCAGGATCACCCATAGTCAAACCCATGTGTGGAGTGGGTAGACTATTTCTACCCTTGTCTTTGTCAGCATCAATAATCACAAACTGGGCTAAAAGTCATTGTTGTTGGATGGATTAACACTGGGCATGGTAATTTCAATGTCTCCTGACTACCTTCTCCTCTAATTGACTGGGAAGCACTCTTTTCCCCATCTCTGGGAGAATACATCCCAGAGTCTAGATCATGGTAAATCCATTTGTGACATGATCAGTCCTCCAAATGTGTGAATGATGGCTGTGTCCACTTTCTTCTTTGTTCAGGATCCTCTCAGCATGAGGTCCTCCTTGCAGGCAGTAGCACTCTGGGGGAAGAAGGCCCCTCCACACAGCATCACTGCCATCATGATCACTGATGACCAGCAAACCATTGTGACTGGAAGTCAAGAAGGTCAACTCTGTCTCTGGAATCTCTCACCTGAACTAAAGGTTAGTGAAAATGATTCATATCAAAACAGATGGCACTCACAAAATAAGCACAACTTGCTTCTACCTGCCAGGACGGTGGGAGTTTTGCATGATTGTTAAAAAGGTGCTCACTGAAGCAGTAAACTGGTTTTACTTCTGAATTTGGAGAAAATAATGGATCAAGATCATATTTGAAAATTAGATTATGAGTATTGCTAATCTTAGCTACCAACTAAGTGTTATCACCCTTTAAGCTATGCTGAGTTTTACCATTTTACATCCTGAATTATATGTGTAAGTAACTGAACTACAGACATGTAAGTATAATTCTAAAAATTATGGCTCATTAATCTAAACAAAGGGCACCCTTGAAAACTGCTATTAACTAAATGAATAATATCTTAATTATCTGGGTGTTTCTGTCAGTTTGGCCTTCTTGCTATTCTTTTGGTCTCTGCTTGCATGTGATTTTTAAAGATCACATCAAAAAGCTCTAAATCCAATTTACTATTCTTGTCTTCCTATCTCAGAACCTGACCTCACCTAGGATTTGGCCCATTGATTAGCAATTAATTGTCCCTGTCCCAAGTCATAAACATTTAACATATTGGAATAGATATTTGCTTAGTGCTAGCAGCCTTTGGACCCAATTTGAACATTTAAACTAATGATGTACTTAAAGTATACTGCCCTCATTAAGAAACCTTTTAAAGATCAAAGACTATTTTTAGCCTTTAAAGTTTGTCACTTTAAAACCTAAATTAACAATTAATTGTAATTCTATTTTATAGTGTAATTAATTAACACCTCCTGTCACAGAAGAGTTACACTACAGGACTGCCAACAACTGCATAGGAGACCAGCTCAGCTCAGTGTTTATGAACATTCCTGAAAGAAGGAACTGGTATTATTGCAACAGCTGAGTTTTGAAAAGTGGCCTTCACATTTATTATATCTTAGAGTTTAAACTCACACTTCTAAATGGCTTAAATGGACTTGCTATGCTTTTTAATGTTTCAAGTATAGTGTTTTCCGGCTGGAGTAGTTGTCTTATAATATGTAGGTTGCAGTAAACTTAAGAAATTTGGAAGCCTCACATCTGTATCTTTTTACATTCCTTTTTATGTTCCTGGTATATATTCAGCATTTGTTCAACATGCATTTATTGACTACATATTATAAGTTAGGTGGTACGCTAGGTACCTGGGTTCAAACAGATGAGAAGACTTGGTCCTGGCTGTCCAAGGGGCTGCAGTGTAGTAGAGGAAGGACATAGGCTGATGCAGTGCACTGATGGGATGATACAAGGTACTCAGAGTACCTGAAGTGCTGAGGGATTTAGATTCAAAAAAAAAAAAAAATTAACTAGCAAGAGCTAATGCCACATGCTAATTAAAAGCAGTGACAATATTAGGGATTTTGAGATTATGCAAGGAGATGACATAATCCTATATTAGTATATTTGTGATTGAGACTATCATTTGGTATTAATGTGAAGGGCATACTGAAGGGAGGGAGAGAAGTGATAAAGGGCGGTGACTATGGTAGGAGCCTTTTCATTAATTTAGTTAAGAAAGTTTTTGAGTAGGAACCAAATCAGGGACAGAAGGGATGAAAAGGAGATGAAAATGGAAAGATACTGAGAAGAAAGAATGTGTGGAACTGAGCAACTGATTGGAGTGTGGGTCGAGGGGGCAGGAATAGTCAAGGATACCTTACTGACTTAGGGTTTGGGTGTGGGTGGGACTGGTGATGTGATGATATCATGGATTTGTAGAAGGAATAGAGGTGATTAGAGAATAGGAATAAGAAGGGAAAGGAGGTGATTTAAGTTCTGGAGATCCTGGAGTATCCAAGTATCTATTAGGGGATTGGGACCACATCTCAGTTTTTCCCTGTCCACGGGTGGTGGGATTGCAGGCTATAGGGGAGTGGAGAATAAGTTTCTCATCACATGCTCCTGTTATGCATGCTGCTTCCAGGCTCAGGGTCTGACTCCCAAAGACTTCTTAGTGAGGTCTGCCAGTGAGGAGCTTCTCCAAGTTTCATGCTAGGAACTACTTCACTTGTCCTTCCTGGTATTGATTGCTGGTATTTATAACACTTTTAAACATAGAGAAAGCTGAGCTGAACTTCCTCCCAGATATATTCCCTTAGTATTGCTATGTTCTATTTTTCTTCCTATTTAATACTCAAAAGGAAACACAACAATGACAAAATAAAGAATAGCAAAAATAGCAATATTGTGTACAGGAAAAGAATGGAGAGTTTGGTCAAGTTCTAACTCTGGTATTTACCAACTTTCATATGGAGCAAATGACATATTCTTTGATCCTTGATTTCTTCATCTGTGGAATGGGCATTAAACCCTGTTCATAGTTGCACCAGTGCCTGGGTATGGTGGATGCTCATCAAGTTTTGTGTTCCCATTTGTGCTATTGGAAGTTCCTGGTGGGGTGGGGGTCGGGGGTGGGCAATAAGTCATGGAGGTAGAGCCAACGAATAGAAGTAAAGGTCTCCTGGATTTCATCATGACAATGAGTAGGTATGTTCGGATTTTTTTGTTGTTTTATTCCAGCAGTTCCAGAATATGATAAAAGGAAGAGATTATAATGAATTGTCACAGTTTATTTAACTACATGTGGGAATTTAGTAATAAAATGAGCACTCCATATTCAAAGCAATGGAGTACCATTATGGTATTTTGTCCATAGCAGATTTTCTCTGGGAGAAATCTTGATTTGCTCTAATTCCTTGCTTAATTTGGCCTGTAATATATGGAAAGGTGTTAAGTTCATAGGGGTATGTATTCCAAAATGTAATGATGGGAAAAGATAGTGTGTTGTTTTCTGAGATGGAACAACCATCTGGATTTCCCAGGAAAAAGGTAGAATAAGGTAAATGGTTGTAACATACCACAAAACTTCTTTGTAGCACTGGAAATTTAGTCTAACAACAGATCTTTAGGGAAGCATTTCTGATTGTGATAGAAATAAGATGAAGACAGAGAATGATTGTGTTTTGAAGTAATTTGTCCTCATCGGTATGATTTCTTTATCACCTCTGGATATGTTTGCATAGTTCAGAAAAAGCATAATGAATATTAATTCATTTGGAAATATTATTACCCTCAAGACAAGTTTTATTACCTACAAATTTTCTAGTTATTCAAATTAAAGTTTTAGTGCCTATTGACAAACTCTTCATTTGAGGGGATCCTGCATGTCTTTTGTTTTGTAGTTTGATTTTCATGATCTTGTTTTATAAAATAAAGAACAATAGACATCTTTCATACATGAGATAATGGAAGAATTAGCCCTTGGTGCTGTATTTTTAAATTCATGTACAGGAGAAAGACATTGGCATTTTCAATAACAACTTAGTTAAAATTTTATTTTTAATGCAGAAAAATTAATTTTTATTATTTCTGGAGCAAGAAATGAAATAAGGTTACGATAAGGATATAATGGTTACAAAAAAGGTAATATTTTCCTTGTATTATTTTGTAAACTCATTTCTGAATTCTGAAATTTGCTCATTAATATGCTACTATCAACTGAGGCACATTTTGTGCATAATAAACATCAACACTGACTTATTTGTATTCAAAACCTAGATGTTGTAAAACAGGTCAGGTGATTATTTAGGTTTCATGATAGATACAAAACCAAAAACAAAAACAAAGAACTGTGTACAAGACATCTCCTGTATCTAGATGTTTATTAGATTTTTTTTTTAATTTATTTGAGAGAGAGAGCAAGCACGAATTGTGGGGAGAGACAGAGGGAGAAAGACTCTCCGCCGAGCAGGGAGCCCGATGCCAGGACCCAAGATCATGACCTGAGCTGAAGGCAGATGCTTAACCAACTGAGCCACCCAGGCGCCCTGTATCTAGATGTTTATTATTCTGTGGATTTTGATATGGCATAGATCAGTTTTCCTGAAACCTATGTAGAGCAAAAACATAATATAACAGGATTTTCTAATCAAAATTATGAATACTTAGATAATGTGATGTTTATACTCTTCAAAAGTTTATAGCTGTTTAAAAGCTTACCCTCATCATTTCAGATTTCAGCTAAAGAACTTCTGTTTGGCCATTCGGCTTCAGTAACATGTTTGGCAAGAGCAAGGGATTTCTCGAAACAACCTTATGTCGTCAGTGCTGCTGAAAATGGGTAAGTAAGATGTGCGCAACTTTGTGACCATCTCTGTTGCCTCTCCCTTTTTAAAATCAATGATGGGGTACAGAATTCTGGGGCTGAAGGAAACCTTAGTGATTATCATGTTCCTTTTACATAGAGGAAAATTTAGATCTTGAATTGTAGAGTATTTGTGTGATGATCCCAAGGAACGTGATCAGTACTGTGTCTCCCAATTTAACTCTTTTTTTTTTTTCCTTGCTGGATTAAGACCAAAATAAACACTCTAACTTGTCTATCAGGCCTTGCAGCAGCCTCACTATATAAAAGATAATGGCAAATGCCACCTGTTGTAGAATTGAAAACGGAAACGTCTGGGTGCTTATCTTTTTTCACGTAGTAATTCACTTTGAGCTCTTAAGCAAACCTATCCAGGCTTCATCATTTTGTAAAACAACTCAGTAGTTATAATCTTCATGTTATACACTTGTCTGAAATCATTATAGGAGAAACAGAGGAGAGGGCTCAATGGTAAGTGGGATGGAGGGGAGAGAGAAGGGAAGGGAACATAGACTGTGATTTGGGTGCAGTTTCATGGAAGCAAGGTTTATTCCAATGAAATAGGACTAAGCTGTAAGAAAAAGCCTCGCCAATGGAAGAACTACTAGGAGCTGGACTCTGCTGATGAATTATTTGCCAAAGTAGATTCAGGAATGCGGAATCGATTCAGCGTGCATTTGTGAATCAGGGATTGGATTACTGGTTGAAACAAGAGAACCCCCTCCTTTTTTTAACCTGAGGAGAAAGTACATGGCCCTGAACTCTGAGAACCAAAAGAATCATGAGTGTAAACTTGGAGAAACTGAGTAGTTTAACAAAATGCTAGTGAAACGGGTATCAAAGAGGTACCTATTCTCGTAGTTTACAGCAAAGCCATCATTGTTAAACTTAGAGAGATTGAACTTTGGTTGAGGCTAGAGTGAAGTGCCCTAGTACATTCTTTTCTTAACAATGGCTAGTAGCTTTTATGTGCTAGGGCTGCCGCAAAGCCTGCTACACAAACTGAGATAGATAAATATTGCCAGTCTAGAGAATTTGGGAGATGGTGATTTTTTTTTTCCTGAGACTACTTGAGGAGTTGAGAAAAATTAATTGCTAAATGAGAAATAGCTCTGGAAAGTAATTGAGTTCCAGCCTGAGGGTTTTGCCCCCAGTAGTCTAGCTCCAAAAAAGAAACTAAGGTTAATGGACATATTCTTGATGATAGATGAATTCAGCTGTACAACTCTGCAAATACAATTATTAAAGAGCCAAGGAGACTGGTTTGATCTTCCTTTCCCAAGATGATTTTAATTTTCTAGAATTCTGTTTCTTCAAGATGCAAAACTTGGCCTGCATCTGTTAAGATATTCTTTAGGCAGTATCTACATTTCAGCTGCTGCATACTTAACAAATCCTAGTTTAATCTACTGGAAGTTATTACACTTACTAGACTTGGTCCGTTATGCCCCAACAACAATGATTTTTTTTAGCTTTGAGAAGACTCAGGAAGTGACTGTAGACTTAGCGTTTCTGCTTCCAAAATGTTCAGATGGTACCCAAAATTGCTGTGATTCAGTTTTTCATTTTTTTCCCAAAGTATTAGTTCATCAGTAGGCATAAGATTCAGAAATCCCAGTGAGTTCCAGGATGACTGAAGGGAAATACATACCTGGAGACCTGATGTTGAAACAACAGAATTCCAAAGAAAAAAGATCCTGAAGGTGGTTAGTGGGAAAAAGCAGATTATTTATAATGGAATGCAATTAAGCTGACTTCTCAGCAGTAAAATGAAAACTGGACAACAGTGAAATATTTTCAAAAAGTTGAGAGAAAATATCTGCCAACTTAGAATTGCATGTCTAGCAAAAATATCTTCCTAAAAATGAGGTCAAAATAATAACGTTTAAGACAAATACTGAGAATGCTCACTGCCAGCAGATTCTCTATAAGCAGGAGAATTCTAAATTATATTCTTCAGTAAGAAAAGCCATGATTCAGAAGGAAGAGCTGAGATGGAAGAAGGAGTATTAAACAAAACCAGCAAATTTTTAGAAAGTGTAAATAAATACAGACTATTACACAACAGTGTTTATCTATCTCCCATGCCCTGCCCATACATATTCACACAATCCCAGTCAACAATTGCATAGGGTTGGGTAGTGACCAGATTCCACATGTTGTGGTGTTCTAGAGGTGGGTAAAGCTGTTGATTAACGTTAGAATTTAAGCTAGATGTACATGTTGATATTCCCAGGGTAGCTGCTAAAAGAACAGAGAGAAGAAATAAAAATAAAAGAAATAGAATACAGAACTTCCAACTTGGAAAAGAAAAAATAATAATGCTATTTAATCCAAAGGAGACAAAAATAAATGGGGCAAATGGAAAGCACAAGATAAGGTAGTTGAACTAAATCTGACTAAAACCGTAATCTCAATTATGTAGAGGGACTGAGCCCTCTAGTTAAATCACAAAGATTGTCATATAACTTAAAAGACAAAAACAGCATAAGGACATAGAAAGGTTAAAAGTAAACGGATGGAAAAAGATTTATCGGATGAATACTGACCAAAATAATGTTGATATAGCTGTATAAATATTTTATATTAATAAATACACATAGTTAATAAAACCTTAAGGCAAAAAAGCCTTGGCATTGATAAAGAGGGTTATTACTTATTAATAAAATTTTCAGTCAGCAGCAGGAGATGAGACCAGAAAGTTAGGCAGGCACCCAGTCTTAGAGTCTTCTAGAACCATGTTTCTCCAACCTGAGCTTGCATCAGGACCACCTGAAGAGCTTGTGTAAATACAGATTTCTGGGCCCCACTCCCAGAGGTATGGGTTCAGTAGGTCCGGGCTGAGGTTCAAGAACTTGCATTTCTAACACGCTCCTGGACAGTGCTGAGGCTGCTTGTTCAGAGAACATATCTGGTGTAGTGAGTATCCTATAATGGGGGCAGTGAGAGAAAGTATGATGTCAAGAATGACTTGGGAAACCCATTGGTGATGATACCAGTTAATTATGAGGTTAGGAAACTAAGGAGGATGGATGTTACGCTTCATTGTGAATATGAGGATGTGGAGTCTCCCACATCGTCCACATAGATATCTAATAGCTAGTTGCATGTAGAAATCTAGAGCTCAGTGAACAGGTCTGGGCTTCCAACATCATGTACATGGTACCTGAAGTGATGGGAGTAGATAATTCACCCAGAGAGAGTGTGAAATGTGAGAATGTAAGAAAGCCTAAGACAAAAATCTAAGGAAAATCAGCATTTAAAGCAGCATAAGAATGGAACCTGAGAAGGCCAGTGAAATCCCAAAAGTGTAATGGAAGACAAGAGAAAAGAGAGTTTGAAGAATATAAGGGACTTGGAATTCAAGATGGCAAACCATGTTTATCTCCTCTCCCTCTAGATGTTGCATTAAAATAGAAATCATAACAGTTTTATAAGCACACAAATATAAGAATAGGAATGGGGCCAAGAGAAAATAGTGTATTTCTGAAAGGAGAAAAGTGGACAGAAGAATGGCAACTGATCTATTTATCCACTGGATGAATTTTTTATCGAGGTGCTGAGGTGGGGATGTAGAATTGAATAAGGAAAAAAATGCGTTTTCTCCAGGAATTTAGTGGGAATTTAGCAGTTTTGTAACTTTATATGTTGTAGATATTTTCCTCTGTGTTCTTTTCAGTGAAATTTAAAAAAAAAAACAAGAATTTAAAAATTTTGGAAATTGTTAAACTTTTTTTATGTAATTAAAGGTGATCTCAGTAGAAACGTTAGGGATAGTATTTCAAAAGGAAAAGACGAATGTACATTTTAATAGTCAATTTTCCTGTGTTCTTATTAAGTATGTAACTTGTACAGTTCCAGCTACAATGTCAACGCTACTTTTGGTACACAACACATTTGCTTTCTTTCCTTAAAAAGAATTGGTAGGCAAAGAGTCAGTTTTTGCTTTGTGGTATTTTTGTATTACTTTTTTTTTTAACTTTAAGATAGAAAATAAGATGATAAGAAAACAAATAGGGAAAGCATTAGATCCAGGAGAATTTAGAAACATTAGCATCACCAAGAGAGCTTTTACTGATGCCCAGGCTCCAACCTTGGAAAATGTGATTTAATTAGCATGCCTTGATGTCTGGGCTGGGACCCAGACATCAGTATTTTTAAAAAGTTTGCTGATAATTCTCATGTATAGCCAGTTTAGAACCACTGGTTTGGAGATAGACTTATCTAGAAACAGACTAACTGACCAAGAGCTTGGCAAAACCTATATGCCAGGACTCCAACACAGAGCTGTGGAATTAGAATCTCCATGGACAATTTTAGAAATATGCGCAGGTGATGCACAGCTAGAGTTGAGAACTATGCTATTAAACTCCAGTTCCTTATGAAGCTAAAATTTTATATTAATAGCAAGTTAAGGTTCTATTTTTTTTACCTTTGACATTTTTTTACCTTTGAGATATATTATCTCAATTTCTACCTCTTTCCCAGTTTTATTTTTCACACACACACACACACACACACACACACACACTTTTCCCTTGTTTTATTGAGTTGCATGAGTTTTCATATTACCTCAAATCCTTTTTGGAATAAAGTCAGATATAAACAGAGAAAAAAATTATGAATATTTTGTTTCTATATCCAGAACAGAGTTTCTCAACCTCAGTACTAATTATATTTTGGAGCACCAGAGAATTCTTTGTTGTGGGGCCATCCTGTGCATCCTAGAATATTTAGCAGCATTCCTGGCCTTCCCCCACTAGATGCCAGTAGTGTGTTCCTAGTTGTGACTATCAAAAATATCTCTTATCATTGTCGAATGTTCTTTGGGGGGCAAAATCGCCCCAGGTTGAGAACCATTGATTTAAAGATTGATGTCCAGTGTCTGACCAGAAAAACAAAAAGTCCAGCAAAACACGAAATGCATCTAGCATTTACTATTATTAATTCATATCTTTTGCTTCTTAATAGCAGCTTCTCCCTTAAAGCCAATAAAGGTTTCATTTATTCTTTCATGGAAAGTTTTGCTTATGTGTTGAAAGTGTCAAAACTGAAGGATATTACCAAACAACTCTGAAACAGCCGTTCTGGTTTTTGTGAACGAAAATCATGTAGATTTAAATTGCCCTATGCTGGGTGATGTATTTTGTCACTGTATTTCATAATTTTATGTACATCCTTGTAACATACAGGAAAGCAAGTCAGAGTTTTCTAAACAATGAGAATTCTCTAAATATGTAGTGGCAAGTGTGATTTCAACATTTCAGGATAAGCAAAGAAGTAAACCCTATCAATGATAGACCAAATGTAGCCTCTTGGTGGCACTGTTTATTTTTATAAAAATGATACCTCAGCTCCAGAAGATGCAGCCCTCGATGCATTATGCTTTTCAGAATATGTAGTTTAAGTTCGGTGAAATAAACCATTTTCAAAAGGATGCAGTTTCCATGAAAAGACTGTTGTACTATCACTCTAACAGACTGTGATAGCTGGATCCACACAATTTGTTTTAGGTCAGGTTGGCACTAAAGTAAGGTTTGTAGGCGGGCAGCAGGGTGTAATTACCCAAACAAAAAGACACAGATACAGTATGTCATCCCTGCTAATGACCACAACATTTTCTTGCTCAGTAATCTGTAACAAAAAGCCACATAAATGATCAGGTTGCATTTAAGTGCAGCACTAAAGAAAAACTTGGTGACACAAAAATTATTTCAGCCAATTGAGTAGAAATGACAGAGAATAATGCAAAGTTATCTCTGCTAGGGAGATGTGTGTTTGGAATGTCACCAACGGACAGTGCGTGGAGAAGGCCACTCTTCCTTACAGGCACACTGCAGTCTGTGTAAGTACCTTCCCTTCCTTCAGAACATTGCCGGATTCTGGAACTCCTTCAGAGCATTTGCGAAGCACACATTTAAAGAAATGTCTTTGGAAGGTATTTTTTCCTTTGATTTTTATTTTGTCCCTGGAGTAGAATAGTGTCAGTTATCATCTGCTATTTTGGCATTTTTCTTTCCTAAAAGTGACTATTCAAGCTTTTTTTTCTGATTCTTTCTTTATTTCGGTATCTAATAGACAAATTTGAAAGATAATTTTTAACTTTTTTTTCGTTACACTCACAACACACACACAGACACACACATGGAAAGATTCAGTTTTAATGACATGCTATTTTATAAAGCAAAAAAGTTTTTTGTCTTCAATTTTAACCTTTTTTGGGTGGATAGGTTCTTAATTTCTGAATTTCTTATTCATAAAAAGATAACAAAGTATCGCTGTACCTTTGTAATCATCTCCCATATTTAAAACAGATTTTGGCCTTTGGTAGATGGACTCCAATCATACAGGTGAGGCAGTTGCATTATACCAATGGTGCTCACAGTGTTTTTTATATTTTACTCATAGCTTTTGGCATTGATGACTTGCACTGCAATATTCACAAAGTCGTTTCTGGGACCAAAACTTGCACAGTGAGAGAATTTGTCAAGGGTACAATATATTACTCAATCTTTGATAAAAGCTGTTCTCAAAACTTATTTGGCATAAGAATTCCTTACACACTCTTCAAACACTTTTATTTCTTCTTAACGTATAGTAATGTCGCTAGAAGAAGGAACCTGATTTTGTTGTTGTTGTTTAATTCTACATAGCATTCTAGAAATAAAACAATTGTGAGCTTTCCATAACTTGGAATAAGATTCTTTCTTCCTAAAAGATCCCCCCTTCCTCCAGAAAAATGGTGAATTACAAATGAGACTAAAGTCCCAAATCAATGCTTCAAAAATATGGAATAATTGAGCTAAAAGAAACTTTACTTGCTATTCAGTAGCAGGTAAATACCTTAATTGAATAGATGCTAAAACTAAAATCCAGAGAAGTCTTCACCATAGCCCAAATTATGTTAATTGCTAATGATAATTAACTCTTTGCTTTGAATTCCATTTTCATAGTATTACCACTGCTCATTCCGGATGACAGGGGAAGGTTGGCTTTTGTGTTGTGGAGAATATCAAGATGTTCTTATCATTGATGCCAGAAGTTTGGCTGTTATTCACACTTTCATATCGTCTCAGTCTCCTGATTGGATCAACTGCATGTGCATTGTTCACTCCATGAGAATTCAAGGTAATAGTTGGGTATTATATAACACTAAGAGAGTGCATATAAAAATAACCACTTTTGAACGATTTGTTAAACTAATGGGCAAGAGTTCAGAATACTCCTTTATGTTTATCTGTTGGTGGGGACAGTTCTCTAAGCCAGATCAAGAAAACTGAGAACACTCATACCAGTGGTTCAAGTCATTAGAAAGTCAGCAAGAGGTCAAGATGAAATGAAAAGAGGAGACTGTTTCCATGACTCAGTTCATTGGTACATTTCAAGAGAGACAAGCACGCATTTGTTGTGGATTAGCAAGACTCTTGGAACTTTTGCCTTGCTGTATCTTCTGGATGTAGTAGAGAATTCCGATTCATGTAATGAGAGAATTCAAATTCTGTAATGGCTCCTTACTTGTTTCTGAAATAAGAAGGTGCAAGATTGACAACATAATGATTTTCAACGTAGTTCTGCCCTTAGTGGTCCTCTTCTATTACATGGGGGTCACTTTGAAATTTTAAAACAAATTTAAAACGTGATCTAAAATGTTTATTTTTTATAAAAAAAAAAAACCCAAGGCTGAATAATTTTCACCTACGTAATCCTGCGTAATCCTTAAATGACTATGCTGTGATCTTTACAGCAACCAGTTATAACAGGGGTCAGCTTATACGTGACCTTTATTGTTTTTACAGAAGATTCTCTCTTGGTGGTATCAGTAGCGGGTGAGCTCAAAGTATGGGATCTCTCTTCATCTATCAACAGCATTCAGGTTGGCTTGTGAAACTTTTTATTCTCTAATTTCAAGCATATTTATTGAAATGTTTTTAATTATAAAGGTGTTACCCATTCACTGTTAAGAGTTCAAATGTTGAGGTGCCTGGGTGGCTCAGTCAGTTAAGCATCTGCTTTCAGCTCAGGTAATGATATCAGGTTTTGGGATCCAGCCCCACATAGGGCTCTCCACTCAGCAAGGAGTCTGCTTCTCTCTCTCCCTCTCTGCTCACCTCGTGCACGTGTGCATGTGCTCTCTCTCTCTCTCTCTCTTTCATATAAATAAATAAAATCTTTTAAAAAAAATTTCAAATAATGTAGAAATGAATAATTCTGTCTCCATGCACTTCCCCCCTATCACTCCTCCAAGGGGTAGGCATTGGTAACAATTCAATTGTATCCTTCCAACCTGTTGTCAAGGCATATACAAATATTTTTATTTATACACACACACACATACACACACACTGGTTACATTTTAAAAGAAATAAATAAATAGGTCATAGAGGAATATCTTTCCGAGCCTTACAGCAGAAAGAAAGACGCCTTTCTTCTGAGTTTATGTGAGTGGTAGCAGGGAGATGACTATGAACGTCTGGGGGGTCACATGCACTGAGAGTCCAGTATATTTACCTGCTCCCTGCATCAACTCGGCTACAAGTTGAGGTGGTGGATGAGAAAACAGTTGTAGTATTTATGCTGATGATAAAATTGTTTCAGCTGCCCTATGATCTGAACTCTCCTTTGGAATTTCTTGGTTGGGGAAGCCTAGGGATTATGTTAGCATAATGAGCCCAAGAAACACACACCAGCATTATCAGAAACTTATTGCTAATATAGTATTCTAGGTGTCCTATGTTGGCCACTCTTTTGTTTTTTTTTTCAAAACATTTTATTCATTTTTCTATTTTAGCAGTTAAGGTACTGCAGGTTTTTTCTTTAATATTTTACTTTTTTTGTTTTATCTTTCTGCCATGTCTGAAAATTAGAAACTTACTCATTCTCAGCATCCAGCACAGTCCCCAGAATGTTTGTTGGATGATTATATGAGGAATCCTGCTTATGATTTCCTTTGCAAAATAACTTCTTATTTCAGAAAACTCAAAAGAAAACTGGGGTAGTTTTTTATAAAAATGGTGTGATCTACTTCAGGTGTACGATGGGGCAAGTCTTCTTATACAGTCATGTATAAATTACCTAGAACTAGTACTAAAATATCCCCATTACTTTTGAAGGAAAAGCAAGATGTCTATGAAAAGGAATCCAAATTTCTCGACTCCCTGAACTGCCGGACAATACGATTTTGCACATATACGGAGAGACTTTTACTGGTGGTATTTTCTAAATGTTGGAAGGTATTAATACCAGTGATATACAAATGTAATTTTTTCTTGCTCAATGCAATAATTATAAGAGTTTGATTTAAATATGATCCAAACTCTATATTATTATCAGAGCATGGAATGATTTGTCTTTTATAACCCACTTTTATCAATTTTCCTCTCCCTGCACTCAGCTGTTTTGCTTCTCAGGATATCTAAAATATATCCTAATTTTATTAATAACAAACTATTATTATAGTGAGCATTTATCTCTAGATTATTTTTAAAATTTAATGCCTGCACTTTAGAACTAAAAAGAAAACTAATACTTTTCACCTACATACACTGATTTTATTTTTAGACTTGTTTTCTTTTTCTGCTTAGTCACTACATTCATTTTTAAGGAATATACATTCCTTTCTTGTGAATATATTCACTGATATCTCCAATAAGAAAGAAAAACTAAGTTATTATATCATCTGATGGCATCCCTTTTTTCTTTAGTGTTCCATATACCTGACCCAGTTAATAAAACTATATTGTCTTAACTTATATGTTGATAATATATTTTTGAACAAAAATATAAAGTATGTGGTCTAACAAAAGTTTTCAACTGTATAAACTTTTTTGTATAATAAATTTTAAAAATTTAAAGTTGGACTACCATATGGAAGAAATAAAATTATATGTAAATTTTGGGATTTTTGATCTCTGTGCTTAATGGTCACATTCTGGAATGGTACAAAGCTTATGCACTGAAACCTACCTTAATATAAATGGGAAAAAATAAGTACCAGTAAAATATCATCTTGGTACATGAGTACAGTGTGTCCTGTTATTAATATTTAATATATTATCGCATTAACACTGCCATCTAAATGGTCTTGATAAGCATAATTTATCTTTCATCTCATTGGCGGATTAGATTAGAAGCTTTTGTTAATGTGTGTCATTAATTTTGTATTTTAGGTTTATGATTATTGTGATTTTTCCCTTCTGCGGACTGAAGTTAGTAGAAGTGGGCAGTTTTTTGCTGGTGGAGAGGTGCTTGCTGCTCACAGAATCATCATCTGGACAGAAGATGGTCACAGTTATATCTATCAGCTGCTGAACAGGTGGGCTCAGATGGGAGCGGCATACAAAACATTCAGGTAGAAAATGAACTTTGGGAGGTTTATTATGGAAAAATCCCTGCATGCTGCCCATGATCAAAAACCAGAACAAAACAACTTTGGCACTAGAAGATTTACTCTGGGCTTGGTAGGCTTCAGCCTTTGTATAAAACAGCAGGGGATGAAGGAATGAGATTAACCATGTATAACTTGTACAGCTGGTGCTGGGTTTTCAAAAAGTCACTTGTAATTATTAACCCAACAATTTCTAACTAGAGTTTAGAAACTTGAATGGTACCATCCGGCTTTTGAATGTGGGAGGAGGAAAAAAAAAACCGAATAAAGAACTCCAAAGTTCTAAACTCTGCTTTTTATTTTTCGCCATGCAGTGGGCTTTCCAAAAGCCTATACCCTGCTGATGGAAGAGTGCTTAAAGAGACCATTTATCCTCATTTACTGTGCTCTACTTCTGTGCAGGAAAATAAGGTAATGCAAGGAGAGAGTAACTGCCTCAAAACTGTTTCACTCCGCATCTTAGTTAAGTGTTGCTTTGTCTGTAGCAGAGTCAGACTTGAAAAAGTTGAATTGAAGAACCACAGCAAGTTATCAATGAGAAAATCAAATCTAACTGTTAATGGGTACTGAAGAGAAAACGTTGCCTTTGAAAAATGTATTTTTTAAAGTCTGATTAAACAATATATATTTCTTATAGAAAAATTACCAAAGTTAAACACCCACACACATAACACATTTTTCACTGACCCTTTGGATAAATGGTTTGATGCAAAGTTACACATTTTTCACTGACCCTTTGGATAAATGGTTTGATGCAAAGTTATTATCATTTTGATGTATCAAATCCAATTTTTACACTTTATCAAATGGTTTATATCCTGCTTTTTTTTTGCTCAATATTACCATTTTTTGCATATATTTAGCTCTTTTTCTGAATGAATTTTCTTGCTAAAACAAAAACAAATATATTTGTGATTCCTGGCAGAGTTGCAGATATAATTATGTGTTTTTACTTGACTGAATTATATCTTTAACACTCTATGAAGCCTGAACATTTAAAGTTATTTTATTTTAGTAGTGCTAACCAAAGTGAGGTTGTTTTGTTGTTGTTGTTGTTGTTGTTAACCTATGGACTTGGTCATCAGTTAATTATCCAAAGAAGTATTTCATGGAGAATGGAGGAGTTTTGGATTACTGATGTGTCAACCAAGGAAGCATGTTATTTTTTACAGAGTGATGTTTTGCTTAATTAGATAGCATTGCTGTTGGAGATCCTACAGTTCCGTGATTGTCCCTTTAACATATCTGCAAGGTTTTGTTGCAAAAACTTCATTAAGCAGGTGCCAGCCAAGAATCAGAACTCTTAGTGCCATCGCGACATAGGCAAACTTTAGAATTGTGGCATCAGGCACTATTTCTAAAGTCATTTGTGGGTGGCACTCGAGTCTTGTTTTGCTGTTGGTCATTAAAGCAGTATTGTGGCTTACTCAGAAAAGCACTTTTAGTCATTTTTTAAAGGACCTGCCTACCTATTCTTTCTTTTAGCTCCAGAATGCATTTCTTATAAAGCAGTTTTCCCTAAAAGCTAAAATATAAGTAGTGTCCTTTAAGAGCTTCCAGTCTACTCCAAATATCAATGCTATACGCTGCTATGCAGAAAAAGGATAGCAATTACAAATTAACGTAAAAGATACTAATAAGGGAAGCCATCTTATTTTGTTCCTCAAAATGTAAAGACAGATTTATGGGCCTTCTGTCAACAATTCTTGTTGAGACAACCACAGTTACTTCTTTATCTTAAAAGTGGGAAGTACTTGGAAGCCAGTGAAATATGACTAGAATAATCGGAATCTTAAAGAAGCTGGTGTGCCCATCCTTATGCCCTTGCTTGCCGTTTGTCCAGCCAAGAAATTAAAGTCTGACATTATTCTCCTTATTCAAAACATCCCCAATATTCACTAAATATAAGACTTCTTAGTCTCCTGCAGTTAAAAGGTAACATTTTGGTGGGGTGGGGAGATGAGCTTGGTAGGTACAATGAGTTTAGAAAAAGGGGTTCTATAAATATGTAGTATTAACTAGACACTTCTTTTGGAATCAAATCTCAATGTTTGACAATAATGTGTACCCAGAGTTAACATTTATAATGCTAGGAACATATCTGCTGATGAAGTTGTAGTACCAAATGAGACTCCCCCTTCCTTTCCGTAGTTTATGAGAGTCTCCCTAGCTTCAGATCACAGCTGATGATCACTGAGGCCAGTGACAGGGGTCTTGGTTGTTGAGATGAAGTACTGGGCTTTCCAGGGTCTTAGCTATGGAGTAACCCTGAAATGCTGAAGTGGGAGTAGCTGGGCTAGAAACAACTTGAGGATTGCAGACAAGGAATTTGGGTGCATGAACTAAGAGTATTAACAATGATGACGATGTTAGGTAACTTTATGTCCAAGGCCTTATTATTGTCAAACAGACACTCCTTCATTTACATGCATTCCCACCATGACCACACTTTGAAACTGATGTTCAGAGAGGTTAATTCCTAGGATTTGAACTTAGGCTGTTTGGCCCCAGAGTCTGGCAATGGGACTTTGGAGCAAGTTTCTCATTGTCCTGAAAAGTGGATAATAAGAATGGTTAATATTCACTGAGTGTGTACCAAATGTATGGCACCATTCTAAGCAGCTCACCTTTAGCAACTCATTAATCCTGACAGCGATCCCATATAATAGGTGCTTTTATTGGCCTTCTTTCACAGTTAGGGAGAATGAGACAGAGAGAGGTTAAGTAAATTGTCCAGATCAAGTAATTGGCTCTTTTAATAGAGTTGGTATGTACTAAACCAGGATTTGAATCCAGGCAGTTAACCCAAGAGAATTCACTCTTAAAGACTATTTTATTACCTCTTAGAGGTGTTCCCTCTCGGAGGACGAGTGCTCCTTGTAATGTGTATGGGGACTGTGATGGAAAATCAGAATTCATATGGTGAGGGGCTCTGAGGAGGTTTGCAGGTCAACAGCAGAACTGGAGAAGGAACCCTTGGGAAGGATGGGGGCGGAGGCGACAAGGAGTGGGTTGAGAAGTGAGGGCAGAGGGGTTGACAGTCGCCCAGGAGCGTGAGCCACAGGGGCAGTGCCCCAAGCTGTGAGGGCAGACGCGTGCTGCCCGCCACCAACCTGAGTAACCACCCTCCTCTCTGGAGCTTCATTCCCAGATCAAAATCCTGAGGGAGTTGGACTAGTCAGTGCTAAGGTTCCTCAAGGTCAAGAGAGTTTAAGAAGCCAGTTTACCCAAATTTTATCAACACCGTTTCTAACACCTACAAAAGTGATGGCCTGACAAGTATAAGACTCCAAAGTGCCTTCTTAATCTTAAAAAAAAAAAAAAAAAAAAAAAGATTTATTCAGAGAACTTCATAGGAACTGTTTTCTCTCCTGCAATGCTCTCATTTTGGGAGACGATAGAGGATTACACATCTTGCTTGCATGGTCTTGGATTCCTTTCTTTTTCTCTTCCTGTCTTGGTTTTCTTATCTCCACACCAGGAATAATAACCATGTTTACTTACTTTGTAGCTTTGTTGTGAGGATTAAATAGACCAGTGTTTTGGCCTTTAATATTCTCTACAGATATATTATAGAATTTTTCCAATAATACATCAAAGTCCTGACCTTCAAGCCTATTTTCTGACTAGGAACTATCACTTTTGTAGACTTCTTTAATTCTAGCACCCCAGTTGGCTTTCTTTCCAGGGTGCCTTTTATTTGTACTTCAAAAGAAGTGTTTGTTTTTGTTTTTATAATCGCTTCATTATTTTGATCCCTTGTGCAGAATCTCTGTATGCAAGTCTGCCCAAACAACATCTACACTGCACTGAGGTACTAGGGAGATTCTAGACTTATTCACTACTAAAAGCGTATCTTACAGAACTCTGGTGCCCAATATTCATACTCTGCCTCAGCAATATTATAACTTCACGTACATAAACATATAATATATATTAATATAAACTATAGCTATATATTTATATTAATATAATATTTTTGTGTTGTTTATTTACTTATATGTTATAGACTCATTTTTATATGTGCCCACTTAGAATATTTAAAATCAAATATATTAAATCTGAAAAATAGTCAACAGAAAGTAGAAAGCATATTGGTAAGACAAAATTACCATACAAATATTAGTTGTTGCTGTTTTAATTGACAATTGGAACTCAAGGGGCCATAAAGAAATCAGGCCGCCTTAGTGGGCAGTAGAGTATGGTCATGAAGACATGGACTCTTGAGTCAGAATTTTTGGACTCCAAAGCACAATGCTGTCTGTTTCACTTTGGGTAAATCAACGTCTTCACTCTCAGTTTATTCATCTGTAAGCTGGAGACAATGATAGTACCAACTTCACAGAATTATTGTGAGGATTATTTAGCTGAATGGATGGAAAGCCCCCAACAGTGTGTGTCATACGCAGACAGAACATCTTCAGTAAATGTTAAACTCTCTGAAGTCTAGCTGATGACTTTGCTTCTATTTTATCAATTTTTTTTTTGTCTTGAGTAAGAGATTATTTCACTTAAGTTACTTGGAATTTTTGAAAGACCAGGAAAAAAATGGAAACAGTTTAGTTCATCTATGAAGTCTTGTCCCTCCATTTTAAGCCAGTGGTTGTCATTTTATATTTAGATATTTTTTCTACATAAAAGCTAACTTTTTGTTTTGGACCAGAGCCTTTCCTTTGTTATGGGCTACATGAATGAACGGAAAGAGCCTTTTTATAAGGTACTTTTCTCTGGAGCAGTCTCAGGAAGAATTACTTTGTGGCATATCCCTGATGTTCCTGTATCCAAGTTTGATGGTTCTCCTAGAGGTAAGACAATTTCTAATCTATTTATAATCATATGTCTTCTGAGAACGAGTTTGTAATTAATTCAGTATTTTTCTCATTTGTGTCACACAAGGCTACAAATAAGACAGATTTTCTCATGCACCACTATGCATTAGATGTCAACTTAAAGGTAGGTATAAACATTTTGGGGGCAGAGGGACAGAGAGAGAGAATCCCAAAAGGGCTCCACACCCAGTGCAGAGCCCAGCCTAGGGCTCGATCTCACGACCCTGAGACTATGACCTGAGCCGAAATCAAGAGTTGGACACTTAACCGACTAAGCAGTCAAGAGTTGTATGCTTAACCTACTGAGCCACCCAGGCACCCCAAACATGATGTTTGTAGATCTTGTACAATAATAAAACCAATATAATTCAAATTAACATCAATTTAACAGGAATGGTGTTTTATTGAAATGAATGCTTATAGTATGAATGTAGGATAGGCTGATACACCATACTCAATATTTTTGAATTTGTCGTGCCTATATCCTGTACCTTTTCTTTTTTTTTTTTTTAAGATTTTATTTATTTATTTGACAGAGAGAGAGAGAGCGAGAGAGGGAACACAAGCAGGGGGAGTGAGAGAGGGAGAAGCAGGCTTCCCACTGAGCAAGGAGCCCAACGTGGGGCTCAATCCCAGGACCCTGGGATCATGACCTGAGCCGGAGGCAGCCGCTTAACGACTGAGCCACCCAGGCACCCCATCCTGTACCTTTTCAACCAATTTCTCTATTGGATAGTTGCAGCTGCTTGGAACAACAGGAACAGATATAAACTTGGCCACTAAAACATTTAGCATTTGCTTATTTTAGTTTTTCTTAGAATACAAAATTGAAATCATTAGAGTAAACATTATTGTGGAGAACCTTCAAAGTCCTGAGACCACATATTCCAAATTGAGGAAGCCTGTCTTACTCTTTTTCCCTTTTTCCCAAATCATTAAGTCATCTCTGTGAATCCTTGTCTGGGGAACAGCAGAAACAAGGTATTCAATACTTGAATTTCTAAGTGCAACTTTCCACTGTTTAGCAAAATCACTGGTATAACTTTTAGTCTGTTTGTCCCAGATGTTTTCAAAATGGTTCATAATAGTTCTAGGTTAAAAAGATATGGATCAAAAAATAGATGTAGAACTTGGTACAGTGCATGGAAAAGTTTCTCACAAGTTCAGTTTTAAGAGTTAAAATACATACCATGCCCCTGCAGAGGCCACCTAATGGTGAACCTAGGATTTCTCACACCTGTGTTCCACAGCCAGCAGCAGAATTAAGTAAGCATCTAATTAATCTTCTTTTTAAGTAGAACCATAGTCATCTACGACAGCACTTGATGTTTGTCTCAGGTTTGGTTTCTAGGTTTTCATAGTCACTGTGGCATGTGTACTGAAAGACCTGGGTTCTCTTTCATAGAAAGGTAGGTTTGACTTGCCCTCTTTGCTCCTGAGTCCAAGCTTCTCTCCCTTCCTAAGCCTACTTGAGGCCCAGTTCAAGTGGTTGGGTGGCAAGCTATGCAAAATGATAACCAGCGTTCTTGGTACTCATAGAAAATTCCCCAGGAGCAATTTTGAGATATTCATACCCTTGATATTTAAAGAATACGTTTCTTCCATTTTCCTCACATAACTAAGAGACCCCCAGTTTTTCTTCTTAATGTTGCTGAGACACATAGAGAATTTATGAGATTGGACCAACACTTTACATCACTGCAAGAGTTTCTCAGTTCTTTTTAGGTGACCTAAGTCTAAAATGAACACACGAATACACACCTATTCTTCTGAGGCTCCTTGAAGGACAGAGGACCAATGAAATAGCATTTGGAATAAAGACAATGGATGACAGGAGAACTCTTCTGCAGTTAGTCACTGTTAGGATGGCAAAAGAGCCTCTAGGTACTCCAAGGGATGGTGCCTTGATAACATTTTCCATATCTATGATGAATTTATAAACCGAATTTTCCCTTTTTTATGTGTTTTCCTTTTAGAGATACCAATAACTGCCACATGGACCCTTCAAGATAATTTTGATAAGAATCATACCATGTCCCAAAGTATTATTGACCATGTCTCTGGGACTGGAACAGTCGGAGTCACTTCATCAGAGTATGTTCCAAGTCTTGATAAACTAATATGTGGCTGTGAAGATGGGACAATTTTCATTACACAGGCTTTGAATGCTGCCAAAGCAGGACTTCTAGAAGGCGGTTCTTTATTAAAAGGTCATTGAATTTTATTTAACCCTATTTATTTAATTTATTTAAGCTTCAACTTTAACTAGCTGTACTAAGAAGATTCCTGAAGCTTAAAGAATTTGCTACCATTTGCTAATTAATGTGTACATATTTTAATATTAAAGTAAAAACACCTAGTTTTTTTTTTAAAGTCAAGTGGAAGGTTATACAATGAGAAATATGTTTCTCTTCTTCCTTGATCTTCCAGCTCCCTTCAACAAAGGCAACTGCTAATAAGTTTCTTTATACCCTCCTCGAAATTTTCTATGCATATACAAGTGCATACCAATATAGCAATATGCATTCTTTTAATAATATTACACAAATAGAGGCATAGTCTGTACACTTTACTGAAATCTCCTGAAGCATATCTTAATAAAATATTTTGGAGCACATTCTTTATGAGTTCCATTTAAATGACTAATAATAATAAACTTTAATTTTAAAAAAATCTCCTATTAATAGGTGTTTCATTTTTTCTAGTCTTCGGCTACTGGAGGCAATGCTGAATTTACCATCTTTGCATATATATGTGGGGATATCTATAGTATTAATTCTCAGGAGTAGAATTACTGAATCGACATTTATGAATATTTTTAATTCTGAAAATATATCTAACAATAGTCTCTAGAGAACATACATCTATGTATATGTATGTCCACTAACAGCCTATAAAAATGCCTTTTCCCCACACCTGAGCCAACTTTGTGTGCAATTAAACTTTTTAGTATTTGCCAATCAGGAGAAAATGGTATCTTCCTGTTTTCATTTTTTTATTTTTTTGTTAATGAAATGTAGATATGTTCCTATACATTTTTGTGCATTGCAACAGTGAATACCTACTAAATAAATACTGTTGTGTGGTAATTTGTCTTATGTAAAGGAAGGAATATCCAGGAAGCGCTTGAGATTTGGGGATGTGTAGATACTTGATATTTTTTAATGCATGGATACTACTAGACTGCAAGGTCCTTAAGAGTAAAAGCCAAATCTCACTTTTTAAGACACATCTTGTTACTGTTCTCAGCTTACTTTTGCTACTTATTCAATGTTACTGTTTTATGTTCAGTGATTACCTAAGATAGAGGAGTAAATAGCAATGAACAGAGGACAGGTAATATACTGCTACACAGCTCAATAGCTGCTGTTAAGAGTTAGTGAAAAAGCTTGAGACCTTAGCACTTTTTATCTAGGCCAATTTTTTCTTATCCATAAAACAAGCACAAACCTGCATTTGACCTGAACATTTGAATTAATATTCATCTTGCTTTGCTAAGGGATATAAAGTGAGGATGTGCCTCATGGAATAGAAGTAACTAATGATTCTTTAATAGACGTAACAATGATTCTTTGGGACTCTTTTTCAATTTGAGTAAAGAGGGTTTGTGGTCTGTGGTCTTGTCCTTTTCTTTTTTTTTAAGTTTTAGCTAATGATGATGTAAGAAGCAATATGGAAACTGGGCGTCAGTAGCCCTGTGTTCTAGTACAGCTCTGGTATGCAATACCTACATTCCTACCAAGTACCCTGGTACTTGGAAATGAAGGGCATTACCATACTTATTCCACACAACAGTCTTGTGTGAAGTAAGTGCTATTATTATTATACCAAGTTTTTCATGTACAGTACCTGTGACTTAGAGGGGAAAAGAAGCTTGTCATGGTGACCCGTCTAGTAAGGGACATACCTAGAAGACCAAAGCTGGATTCGTGTAACAGCAAAGCTCTGCTCTCAAACATTACGCCGTGCTCTTTTACACTTGGATCCAAGTCGCTTAACTTCTCTGCACCTCTGGTACTTGATCGATAAAACAAAGAGATAAAACTAGGTGATCTCTAATATTTCTTAAGGCAAAATTGTTCTGAGAAACTATGCTTTTCTTTTATACTAGACTTGGTTATGCTCATTGGAAGGGCAACAGTGAAGTCCTGAGATTAATTTTTGTAGAAGCAAAATGTGTGAATTGTTCATTCTTTTAGAACAGCCTTTGCTGTTTGATGGCACTGGAATTGGTGCTAGCTGATTTTGGTGCTGGCTAACTTGCTAACTAAACTAACATTGGTGCTGGCTAACTTGCTAACATCCTTAAAGAATTAGCAGACTTTGAACAACCAGACTTCATCAAAAGCATGACCTAGCTTATGAGGAGGTACTTGCCTTTTGAGATGGTCCAAGGGTTGTTCATTCATTTTTTTAACCAACTGCCTAGGTTTAATTATACGTATTTTCTTTGCATTAAAATTTTATAAAAGAAAATGTTAGCACTATTTCTTGAGCAAAAAAAATTTTTTTTCATTATTTGGTGTTTGTTTTCCAGATTCCCTTCCTTACAAAGTTCTCAAAGGCCATCACCAAAGTGTTACTTCATTACTTTACCCACATGCTCTCTCTTCGAAATTAGACCAAAGTTGGCTTGTGTCTGGGGACCAGGACTCGTGTGTCATCTTGTGGAATATCTTTACTGAAGAAATTTTGCATAAATTCTTTTTGGAAGCTGGTCCAGTAACAAGTCTTTTGATGTCACCAGAGAACTTCAGAGTAAGTTAAGACAAAGAGTAAAACATAACATAAATTTATGTTACATATTAAAAAAACATAAGGGCAATTAACCCATTTTCCCACGGAAAAAAGTTCTATGTACCCATACTACAACTGGATAATTTTTATGAATTCCTTTCTAATTTTTATATGCATTATTATTATTACAACTTATGCAAATAATTTGATTCTAAAGCAAGGATTTTGTCAATTCTTGTCTTTACAAAAGCCAGTTAATTCTTTTTTTTCTTTTTTCCCCTAATTCTATATCTTAATGGAATTCTCATTTTTATTTTTTTAATTATTTTTTTAAATAAAAGTAATAGTGGGGGCGCCTGGGAGGCTCAGTTGGTTAAATGACTGCCTTCGGCTCAGGTCATGATCCTGGAGTCCCGGGATCGAGTCCCACATCCGGCTCCCTGCTCAGCGGGGAATCTGCTTCTCCCTCTGACCCTCCCCCCTCTCATGCTCTCTCTATCTCATTCTCTCTCTCAAATAAATAAATAAAATCTTTAAAAAAAAATAAAAAAGTAATAGTATAGAAGCAATTCAAATATATAGGAATCTATAAATTAGAAAATAATGTTTGCCTTGAATAATATACTTTTATAATAATATCGATAGTTATATATTTTTTTTCTTAAATAGATTTTTGTTTGCTCTCTCATTTGTTTAACAAATTTCTGAACATCTACCTTGTGCAGGACAAAAGGAAATACTTTCAAATATAATTTTCACATGTAATATAAACTTAAATTTAGCTTCCACAAAGCTGACATCTTTGTTAAAATATGAATAATCAACTTTTGAGTTTCCTGAGTTTGTCAATCAGTTGATTGACTTGTCAAAATTATATTTCTCTGTAATGACATAAAAAAATCAGCTGCAAAGTAAACTCAGAGAAAACTTACACCATATTTTTGTAATAAGACATAATGAAAGAAATATTTCAGTAACACAAATGATTAAACAAATCAGTGAAACCAAGTGAAGAGCCTTTAAAAAAGACTTCCATATGGTGATTTGGGATACTTTGATATGTCTTTTATTACTGAAGTTCCCTCTTTTTCTTCTTCTTTTTTTTTTTAATCATTTTTCTTTTCCTCAAAGCTCCAGGACAGTAGTCAAAATCCTGACCCCTTTTACTTCTGCCTGAGTCATAAATGACTTAACTCCAAACCAAGCCAAATAAGAAAGGAGTTTATTGAAAGGGTATAAGAGGCAATATTTTAGACACACAAAACAAAGCACTACAACAAGGACCCAGTGAAATTTGAACTTAAGTTCAGGAACCAAGGTTATTTTCTCTTCAAGTCCCCTACCCCAAGAGTCTGTTTTCTGTGATTGCTCCTTAATCTTACTTCTTCCCATGACCTCTTTTAGCTTTTCAATTTCAAATGCATAGAAAAGAGAATCTGATTGGCCGAGTGTGGGTCTCTAGTGTATGTCGACCTCCGGCTATAGGATCTGTGTTCGCGTGTTATGTGTATGTTCACACTTTGTATGTGTGTGTAAGTTTCCTGAAGTACATTGGGCTCTCTGTTCTAGAGGCCATGGATTGTGCAGGTTCTCTAAGGGGTAGTAGAGAGGAGGCAGTGCCATCTGCTCTATCCTACAGTCCAGGTTCCCCATACAGCACCCCTGCCATTTTGTGATTTTTTTTCCCCCTCAGGATTTCTGTAGTCTCCTTAGAACGAATTAGGAAAAATAACTTGCTCCCTAGCACCCCACAGAAAGAGGTCAGTAATGGGCACAGGGAAATTCTCAAGGGATCCCAACTGATGGTTTAAACACAGCAGCTGAAACTCTGGCTAGGTGCCCTAGTGAAAGACAGAGCATCCACACAGCAAAGTGGTTAGAAAAGAAACCAAGAGGCACTACCCGGCTAACCCTCCTCCCCTCAGCCACCCACCCACCCCCGCAACAGCTGACTAACACAGCGCCCTCTCAGTGAGGCACAAACCTGCCCTGTAAACTCCTCCCAGATGAGCCTCACAGCACCCAGCATGGTCGGTCTTCGTCCTAAACTGTGTTCAAGGTAACCACATGCTGACTTTTTAAAAAGTATCTTAAGAATCTTTGTCCTGCAAGCCTATTTTTGGCCCTTGTATCTTTGAAGCTGTGCATTCAGTTGGAACTATCTAGTGCTTACCTCTTTTAGATTGTGTCTACACTGAGTTTCCTGTTTGGATTAGAATCTGAATAGTTCTGGGAACAGCACCAAATCACATTCTGAGGCTCTGAGTGGAAAATATCAGCTCATGATACCCTTGGGCCTAAGCCTGTGTCTACAAATAGCTTCTTTTTGTGGCAACAAATTAGTTCTGGGGTTTATTTTATTCTGCATTATTTCCGACGTCTGCCTCGCTGCCTGAATTTGCTGAGTGATGGTCAAGTCCTTCATTTATCTTATAAGTAGATTTGGCTTGGAATTCTCCTTTTTCACTTGTGTCTCTTGACCTTCGTAATAAGTTGTTGAATTTAAAATCTACTTGGTGTTTAAAGCTCCTCTTTACGGTGTTATGTGAAGAGGTCCTGTAGAAAGCAGAAATGTCATTTTGTAAATGGTGTTTAAACAAAATATTTTTATGTTACTAGGGGAAAAAGATTTAATTTTAAGGAAAGCGTTTGAGTATTTACTTACAAATAATGCTGGGGTTTTTTTGTTTGTTTGTTTTTGTTTTTTGGGTTTTTTTTCCCCACAGCTAAGAAGTGATCAGGTAATTTGCTGTGTGTGCAGTGACCATTCCGTGGCTCTCCTTCACCTTGAGGGGAAGAGATGCCTCCTGCATGCCCGGAAGCACCTTTTCCCTGTGAGGATGATAAAATGGCACCCGGTTGAGAATTTTTTAATTGTTGGATGTGCAGATGACTCCGCTTACATCTGGGAGATTGAAACAGGTAAATTGGAATTTTACCCCTTTCATTCTTTATATGTTTATGCATCAAAGCATTTGGCTAGGTGGAGAGTTCCAGAGAATATGTGGTGACCACCTTACCTGCTTTAACCTCTGGTTCGGCTGCATTTCATGGCCTTGGTTGAAGGCGTGTGTGGAAAATAAAACACAATGGCCCAAGTCAGAGCTTGACCAACTGATGATTAGCTGACAGAGCAGTGCGCAGGAATGAGCCGGGTATTTCTGGAAGCTATAAATAAAAACATAAGTTATCTCACTTTAATTATTAACAAGAGAGAAATTTAGTGTCCTACCAGTCTCAAATTATCATTAAATTCTGCCTTCTTCAGCATACTCACAATCTCAGCAACATTTTGAGCTAATTGATGATCAGTAATAGTGGAATATAATTAATTACAAAACTCCAAAAAGTTGAGTCAGGGAAACTGAAAATTGAGTGGCTCAATTGAACTGTTGATGTCATAGTGTAGAGAATGTACAGTGTGAACATTAAAGTTTTCAAAAAAGTTTTACTCCATAACTTAAGATTGAGAGTAACACTTTTCAGGCAGATGCTGGGAACTTATCAAATACGGCAAGGTAATTAATGAATGTGAGTCGGGAGTGCGCCTGAGAGTACATTTTACTGAAACCATTGCATGATTTTTATTGATTAATCAGTGGTGGTTTTATGTTGGGTGTTATTAACAGACTGGATGGTTTATAATATTATAGTTTAGAGTCATACTTCACCAAAATAATTGCTATTTTCTTTACATTTGACTTTCGTGTGTTAATGATGATGACTAATGTACTGGTGTATGGGTGCCATATAATTCTGCCTTACCTTTGTACCTTGCTTTACAGCTTTGATGGCCCTCCATGTTCATTTCCCATTAGATTATCACAACTTCTAGGGTGGTGGAAGAGACTTTATTACTCATTTTATTGATGAGGAATTTGTAACTGATTTGTAGATGCACAAAATTACATTGCTAATAAGCGGCAAACCAATATGAGGGCCCCATCTTTCTTTGCACGATGTGCACAAAATTAGGAGAGTTTTACAATTCTTAGGTGATCTATCAACCTGAGTGACAATTGAGTATAATGGATAAAATGAGCTCTAAAGCCTGGGCTTGCTTCCAGGACCCGCTAACAAAGGTTGGCCTCAGGCAAGCAATTTGGCTCCATTGCATGTCAATCTCTTCATCTATGAAATGGAAGTAATGATACCACCTTCCTGTCAGGATTAAATTAACTAATACTGACCATGCTTGTAAAGAGTGCCTGTAGGTGCTATGCCCTTAGTAATAGTTAACTATTATTAATATGATCAAAGAACGAAGCAAAATCTTGACTTCTGCTCGTGGAATCTAAGACTCTAAAACACATAAATATGTGCAATTGCATTGCTTTCAATTGTGAAATTGTGAAGACTTGCTAATCAAATGTATTTTTTTCTAGAAAATAGAATCTAGCAAGAATAAAGAAATACCTGGGCATTGACAAATGTTTACAGTTCCATTGCTCCATCAGAATACCTCTCAGCCTATGCAACTTTTTACTTATGTATTTTTTGTTGGGGTGGGCAGTAAAAGAGGAAGCCAAACCACTAGTACTTTTTTTTTTAAGATTTTTTTTATTTGAGAGAGAGAGAGCACATAAACGGTGGGGAGGGGCAGAGGGAGAGGGAAGAGACTCCCCACTGAGCAGGGAGCCTGACATGGGGCTCTATCGCAGGACCCGGATATCATGACCTGAGCCAAAAGCAGACACTTAGTCAATCAGGAGCCCCAACAACTAGTACTTCTTGAAACTGTATTTATTCCCACATTTTCTTTTAATTTTATCATTTATTTTTATACTCCCCAATCCATAACCAAATATTGCAGAACATTTGAAAAACACAGAGAAAAATAAAGAAAAATGAATACTCCTGTCCTACTTCCTAAAGATAACTGCTATTAATATTTTGATCTACTTTCTGTCAGAAATCTTTCTATGTCAATAAATAGATGCCAAAATTGTGTTTCAGTCATGGTCCTGGCAGAAAATTGAATTTAACCCAGGTGGGTCAGATGAAGAGACTTTAATGACAGGGCTATTTATAAGGGTGTGGATAGGACTTAGGGAACTGAGAAGGAATGGGTAGTGAGGCCTCCATCGCCCAGACACTGGTAGTATCAGGAAGCTCTCACCACTTGCCTTGGGCTGAAGCAACAAGAGGAAACAAATAGTGTTAGGGGCCCCGTGTGAGAGTGGAAACTGTGGAGGAATGGTCACTCCCTGAAGTCATGGCAGAGAAACCGCTCCTCCGAGATGCAGGACTGAGACAAAGAGTTGGAAGAAATTATTTTCTCTGTCCTTCCGCAGTCACCTTCCTTAGTTTGATCCAAGTGGAAGTCAGAGAGGAAGGACATTTCAGTTCTAGGCATTAGCCAGGGGCCGGAGCAGATGCAGAAGAGCAGGGAAAGGGTGGAGTGGCTGGTCAGATGGACAATAATTGGCATCGTGGCCATGATGGACACATCATACTTTAGCTCAGGAATCTTCTGTAACTCGTTATGCACCTTTTTTCCTATAAAATAGTTTGTTTTAGGATTTCCATATCAAATAATGTGTCCACATTTAGTGCCAAATGTAAAATATTTACTTCACATGAGGCTGTGAGACTGTTTATCTCATGGTTATCTACACTAATACTTTATAAACAACCTTAACTCAACCTAAGATGGAACTTATAATGGTGAAAATATTACTAATAATTATGGAAATTCCTTCACATTTGTGATGTGCCCTTTCAGTTTTTCAAAACATTGTCCCATTAGCAATTCATTTGAACCCTCCCCAACACTGTGCCCATGGCTGACACCCTGACTTTACTCACCACTCACCATGCTTATCCTATTTGGATAAATTTATGCTGTTCCTTTTAGTCTGTGCCTGTTATTGGCTTTGTTTCAGGTTGCCTTTAACCTCTGCAATTCCGGTTTTGTTTAGAATTGAATGAACTACTTTTTCTTGCTCAAGTTGGATTTCATGTGGCTAAGATACTTCCATCTCATTTACTGTGCTAGATTTCTGTGTCACCCTCTTCCTGGAGAAGTGGGAAAATCCAGACCAGGAAGCTTTTCCATTTATAGTTTCCTACAGTTAGAGGAAAAATACCAACTAAGACCAAAACAATTAGGCGGAAAAGAGGCTATGAGGCTATAGAATGTGCTTGCTCACTGATGTGCCTGGCACATGGATCAATAAATGAATGAATGAATTAACACAAATTTTCTTGGATCTCAGTAGATTGAGGACAAATGAGCTCATCTTAACATTGGCCCATGTAGTGGCTTTTAGATCACAGCTGGCCAACTGCAGGTAGATCCTCAGCTTTCTCCTCCAAGTCTCCCTTAGGGTTTCTGGAGTTCACGGGGCCTGTCTCATCTCCTCGGGTCTAAGTCTGTGTATTTTCTACTCCAGGTAATTTTTCCAGGGTTTTTCCTTTTAGCTTTGCTAGAAGGTTCAAACTTTGTTTCATATGTGAACAGACCTACTCCCTGCTCCATTTCTCCAGTACTCTGACTCCTCTAAATACCTGAAGGAGGGATAAATTGACACTAAGAATCTTTCAGCACTAGAGCAATCCCAGAGCTCATAGAGAGAAAATAGGAGGTGTCAGTGGGATAGGGATTTGCGGGAAAAGGGCCTAGAGAGAAAAGGTAGGGGAAGGGGAATGAAGCTAAAAAGTAATTAATTCTCAACTGGGCCAAATACCCACTTTGGTGGAAGGTTGGAGTGTGGGGTACAAGTCGGTCCCTGCACCACCTTCCCCAAGTGTAGGAGATAGAATATGAGACTTCATCCGTTTTTCACACTTTAAAACAGCCTGTTCTCACTTTAATGAAGAGTTTATTTATTCATTTATTTAGTCTTTTGGGTAGAATGCACAAGAATATTCTAGAGCTATGTACCCCCGTGCCTATTTTATCTTGAAATCGTAAGAAGTGTTTCTCATTGTGACAGGTGGCACAGTCAGATACACGCCAGGGTAAAGTTTGGGGTCACCAGTGGGCATGCTCATCTCGCAGGAGAGGCAAACAACCAAAGTTAGAGAAGTATTTATATAACAGCGAAGGCCCTCATCTTCTGGCTAAAAATGCAGCGCTGCCAGGTTGGGAGTGATGAGGGCATCTAGTTTCTCTTATTGATTTGCCGGATGTCCCATGATGTTTAGGCCTGATTAGGAAGGGAAAACACTGGAGATGTCATTTTGATTAATATTTGAGCTCCCACAATGTGTTTGGCACTGACAACCCTGGGCGGCTTTGTCACCCTCATTGCTGTGAGACACAATAGGGATAATGTAATACTGATTTTTTCACCCTAAAACGCACACCAGAAATAAATCTCATCTCTGAGCTCATTATTCTTTTAAGAATTGAATTTAAAATAATTCTGAGGACTTTTCTGTTCACTGTGCCGGATTTACATAGCAGAAAACTCATGTAATGAATTTCTCACACATTACTAATAAAACAGTTGTTAAGACTGAAGGTCTTCTTTTAAGCTTATGGCCTGTGTTGTGAAATATGCCATATTAAGCAATTTGTGTGTGTGTGTCTTTGTATGTGCATGTGCAAGCGCGCATGGGTGTGTGTGTGTGTATGTATGTGAAAATGAAACCTCACTTGCTTGAAAATGAAACTCTCAATAAGATAGATCAGAAAAACTTCTTCTGTAAAGAACTGGAGAGTGAAGTTTTTAAGCTTTGCAGGCCACATGATCTCCTACCGAGCTCTGCCTTTGTGGCACAGGAGAAGCCATAGATAATATAGAAAGGAGTTGGTGAGGCTGTGTCCCAATAAAACTTTATTTGCAAAAGCAGGAAGCAGGCTGGATTTGCCGTGCAGGGTGCTTTATAGACTTCTAAGAAGGATGGCAGTTCTTTTTAAAGATCATGATTTTCATAATAACTCATGCTAAAGCAATTTATAATTTTTAATCCAT